TAAATTTGGCAGATCATTTTATAGAAAATTCAAATGACTTTAACCAAATAATTTTCCGGGACAGTTCAAATGGACCAATGATTTTTCTGTTTAATATACCAGTCCAAACACTTATCTTGAACTGGTATTGTGATCTTTCCTCCCGTATTATATGCGGCTGTGCAGATTATGCATGTTAAAGTATTCGTCTTTTTTAAGGACGAATTGTGAATCTTGTTCTATTTTCGCAAGCATTTGTCGACACAAAAACAATCGCGCGCTGTAATCTCTCGGTTGTAGAGCTTGGGCGCGTCTAATGTGGTAAAGATGAAACTCTAGTAGAGGTGGACGGGTCTTGGTCAAATTCATTAAGCACAATGTCTTGTGTATTGATATTAGCTAGTCTTCCAGTGCTCATACAACCAATACCGTTGCCAGGTATTCTACCTTCCGAATAACACCTGTGGATTATGATGAATACGCGGTAATCTGGGTGACGCGCGGTGTCTCTCCCTATAAAGGGCTGCTGCAGCACTTGCGTTGCTTCTGCATTCACCACAAACGGAGCGCGTGTTTGCGGCATCTTGATACACAACATCAGTCCAGATACATAAATAAATCTTAAAGCACAACTAAAGGCCAACGAAATAGCCAGGAGTCGTCGTTATGACACTAGTTTTAAAATCACAGAGAACTCCAAAAGGAATGCACACATGCGATACCCAACAAGTCGAGAGACGCACTAAATACTTGTCTTTGTTATGTGCCCAGTCGCGCGAGAAAAGGTACAATGAATTAACATTGTACTCTTCTCTCGCTCACACTCTACCTATCCCGTATACGAGAGTATCGCAATAAACAAAAGATGGATAGCGTGGGCCACACTCACCACTTCAAGCCGCCGAAGAAGATTGGTCAGTTTTTACCATCAATCAAGTGTAACTTCCCTCTGCAAGATGCGGAAGTGTACAAGCTTGATTGTGTATGTGGTCTCTCCTACATAGGACAACCTAAAAGATCAATTAAAACCCGCGTTAAAGAACATAAAGCTGATGTGAAGAATCGACGCTCTGGGAAATCTGCAGTCTGTGAACACGTACAGGATCGCCCCCGTCACTACATCAGATTTGATAGACCACAAATCCTCGCTAAAGAACACCGATTCCCTCCAAGGATCATTTGCGAGGCTATTGAAATCAAAAAACATCCTAATTTCAATAGAGAAGATAACTGGGTGCTACCATCTGCTTGGAATCCTATAATAAATAAAATTAAATCCCAACCCAAGCTTACAACTGCAAGACTTCAAGATACTTTAAGTTCATACTGTGTAGATCGGAACAAAAGTTAAATTTTAACCTATGGTAACCGCGATTAACTATGACATCTCAGTCTCCCCCGTGACCATGGGTGCTGTAAAGCTCTCGAAACGTCTGGTATTTAAGAAATTATTAGTTACGCGATAAAATCCGTAAAAACTAGTATTATTTCAAAAAGGACGTTTTCACTCAAGAACGTCCTTGTCATTTTCACCGTTAAAGATAAGTTAAGATTTTTTTTATTGTCTATCTTTGGATAAAATTATGTATTATATACACTTAGGTCTTCATACTTTTTTTCACGAACGGCCCTCAAAATTTTGTCATAATATTTTTTTTTATAAAATTTCATGCTAAAAACTTACTCATACGCATACTCTTTACTGCATTTCTAATAGAATAGTCTGTGAGGAATAAGAGAACACCAAAAAATACAACGAATTTCATTAATTTGCGGCAGTGGTGAAAGTATAGTAAGGTCAATAAAAACATATTTTTTAAAACTTTCATTTTTTGGCACCACTTGGAATATTTTTTTTTATTTGAGCGCCTGATACCTGTACTATGAGGCGCTCCAGGAGTATCCATTATTTCTGGGACACCTAGTATATACTACTATCGTGTATACTTTCACATTTCCAAAAACTGCGGTTTAGTTGGTAGTGTGTGTGTGTGTATCCCCAATGTTTTAGAAAGACCTATCGAACTACTCCCCACACGATTGACGGGTAAAAATCATCCTCCCTTTACCCTTATGGTAAGTACCCAAAAAAAAAAAATGTTTATTAGAATTAAATTTCACAGTTTTGTAGGCGTGATTAATATCTACACTTAATTATGTTACATTACAGATTTGTAGTACATAGGGTCTCTAAGTAAAACCGCAAATGGAAGGACGGACATAGCGAGACTATAAGCGTTCCTTGTTGATTAACTACGTAATCCTAAAACGCGTCTCCTGCTCACTACGAAACTGTTGGTTTATGCTGTTATTCTGTGAGGTTTATCTAGCTAGTCTACTAACTTAGCATGTAACTTATGTTATCGTTATATTGTTAATAAGCATTTAAAGTAAGCATTATGTAAATGTATTTTAATTTGTTTCAGTTTAGATTACGAGTGTACGAGTATGTGATAAAAATATTTATATAGCGCATTAATGTATCCTTGACAGTTCACAATTTTATTAAAAATTAGAAGTTGCTATAAGGGTAGAATTTAGAAACATAATATTGTTTGTAATAGCTTAGTGGCACCAGGTTATCAATTTTTGTCACCAAGCAGCAGTGCACTCATTGCTGTGATCAGGTTTAAAAGTTAAAAAGCCAGGAAATTTTTTACTTAATATAAGCCCAGGATTGACTACAATAGAGTATTTTACACCATGTAAAATAAAATCAAAAAATATATATTTATGATAGATTTTGTAAAAATTAAACGATGAATATTGATTTCTGTTTATAAAATTGCATTATAAATTTTGTATTTCAATTTTAAGAATATTTTTTTCGTCTATGCCTTAAATCTGTAAACGGTGTACGCCACATTAGCCATATCGTGACGTCACGGATCCATCCTAAGGATATTACTGTTCTGTATCACTTCTAGATTACCGTATATATACTAGAGAGTATCACTGATTAAGAGAACGAGCTAACGTGCTGTGTTATTTCGAAAATTTTCAAGTTATCATTACGATTATTGAGCTTTATTACGAATTTTATTGAAAAGGCATCATGGAAGTCGAATTCGTAAAAGCAGAAAGTAATCTACCAATGGTAATTAAATTGATGGTGGAAAATTTTTCGCATGCAATCGCAATTTTTGTTCTGCTGAGTTGAGGAATGTTAAAGGCATCAACGTAAGTACCTATTACCAACTTTTGTTTATACAAAAACACAATACCAGGTGAGAGTGTATTTTGATAAAACATAGTTTAGTAGCTATCATATTCTTACGAAATTAACACTCTTATTACCGAACACCAATTAAAACGTAAAAGACACTAATAAATCACACTGATTCACTTTATTTCGCTCCGAAGCTTCGCTTGTGTCGCCAAATTCAATACTGTCCCGATCGCGGCTTGCAGCGGCTTTAAATACACCTTTTCCACCGAAACATCCAGAATGTTCCAGCAAATACCGGTACCGACCGACTAAATGCAGAAAGTTCGTGAGTGGACCCTTCTAGAAAGCTTAATTCTTCTTTTCGATACTAGATGACGTTGTTGGCGGAAAGTTCAAGATTGGAATTTTCTAGGAAGCCCTCCTCGTTCTGTTCCCCGACACTAGATGGCGCTAGTGCCAGGTACTAGACATCAACTTAGGCGCGCAACAATATTTTAGTTTATTTATAATTACAATAATTAGCAATCATTAGTTATAATATCTAAGTTAACGTAATTTATTACAAAATTTGACTTGCGATACCCTTCACCTCATGACGTTTGTTTTGTATTAAACGATAGTTAAATATAAGTCATACTTATATCAAAATTATCTTCACAGAAGAATAGTCCGGTTTATGTAGACAATGTATTCGGGTATCTTCTTGCCAGTTTTAGCCAAGTATTTCTTATGTTTAAATCAGTTAGCACTAGAATCTATAACTTTCCCGGCGTTCTTATGCTCATATTTTTGCATTCAGACACAACAAAACAATTGACAACAACAATGATTTAAATGATAACTCATTATTAAACATTAAAAAGTATCTTATCAATTTGCAAAATCGGCAGAATCAACGACTGTGACGTCACGAGTTAAACAAGATGGCGGCTAACGTTTACACTCGAAAATTTAAAACGATAGATTAAAAGTAATTTTTATGGCACTATTCGGTTTTAAAAAAAATATATAAAAATTATAGTGGTTCATTATCACTCTAGGATTAATTTAAAATAATTTTTGAAAATGGGTAAAATACCTTATTCCACCGGGGGTAAGTGGTAATGAAGTCTCTATATGGTAAATCATACTGTTTTACCGTAACAAAAGCCTATTTACTCTTGCCTTGCAGACATCCATATTGTAATTGTACAAAAAGACAGAGGGCAGCAAATGATTCCACTTCTTTGCCGTACATATCACAAAAGACGAAGCCAAAGACTTCTATGTATTACTAGATCGGCAAATTAAAACTAAAACAGAGCTGAAAAGCCACAGTTGAAGATTCCGCGGGCGCAGACTGAGCGGGCAGCTGGCACGGTAAATATGCCACGCAGTTTTTATTTTCATTTACGACAGTTAATATTTTTAAGAAATTACTTAATAAGCTTATATTCTCATCTGAAATAAACTTCAAGTTGATAAAGTGCGTACGTAAATAATGACAGCGTTTTCTTAGACATACTATACAAAATCAATGTTAGATATACGTAAACAATGCTCGCGGTTTACAAAACAAAGAACAAGTCTTTTAAAGAAGTTAATATACCAGTTATTATCCAGCCCGGTGACTCAGTCTAGTAAAACAATAAAGAAGCAAACTAATTGGTTCGAATGCGTAATATATCGACATAAAAGGGTGACTACAGTAGTGAGCGTGCGTGCATGTTAGTGCATGTGTGCGCCATGCGTGAGTGAGTGCGTGTGTGCGTGCTTGTGTGCGTGCGTGCCTGTGTCCGCACGTGTGTGCGTGCGTGTGTTGTGTGTGTGTGTGTGTGTGTGTGTGTGTGTGTGTGTGCGTGTGCGAGCGCACCGGGCGGCGTGCCATGTACTCGTAGCGGTCGGGGCGCAGCGAGTCGAGCGAGACGTTGAGCGCGGCGAGCCCGGCGCGTTGCAGCGCGGGCAGCCGTCGCGTCAGGACTAGCCCGTTCGTCGTCATGCCCACCGTGCGGATGCCAGGGATGCTGCACAGCCTCTCTGAGAAACACACTCACCAATCAATCTCTAGAAAGGCTCCCCCAAAAATGCGTTTACCATAACCATTACAGCCTATTAAAGTCCACTGCTGATCAAAGGTCTTCCCATAGGTTGCCCCATAGGGATATTTGCCATATTTGCTACATTTGGCGCAGGTTTTTTAATTGTCTGTCATTATTATAAAGACGCTGCTGCCCATCTCCTGATCTGTCTCCCTCTATCACCTCTTATGACATCCACGGAATGATATGGGCTAGTGAATGTTGGCACCACCACTACATAGTAAAACAAATCACCTACCAATAAATCTCTACAAAACTAAACTCTACAGTTCTAATAATTCTTGGGAAAAACAAGTCTAGGGGACTATATTAACAATTTATTTATATACGATTTTTAGAATTTTTGTCTCTCTCCATACTCACCTTTCAAAAAAAACCTTTAAGATGGATTCTCTTGTATTATGGTTTTATGAACCTGGATACATAGCTACAGCTTTACGAAAAAGGAGATTATATTTTCCTTATCTATATAGTATTATGTGGTATAATGATTTACTCAAATGGTTGACTGATAGAGAATGCCTCATTGCATTAAGTCCGCCCATTGTATTCTTTTATTGCAATAAAGCATAAATAAATAAATATTGGACATTGAATTAAAGTAATCTTTTTTTTATTTATTTATTTGTCAGAATAAGGTAATACATAATGGTCTTAAATCTAATACAGAAGTTCACTTATTCTGCCTCTTTTATAGGCGTACAAATATTAAATCGTCTTAATTTAATTTCGACATAAAATTTTAATACAAAACTATAAAAAATTTAATAATTATACATTTCATAAATGTGTCAAAGAGAAAATCAGTAATAATACATGTCATCGTCAAATTGCTATATATGTCACCTATATTTACTATTATAATTATATTAATTAAATAATAATTTTACAAACAAAATTAGTTATTGAAATAATCAGAAAGACTATAAAACACTTGCTGAGAAGCCATTCTATCAACTTTCGTTTAAACGTTTGAGTTGTTTCATTCTTTATTGTGTCTGGCAGACGATGTTAAAGAATGAGGTGCCTGATTTAGGCAAGAATAATTTATTTTTGTTCCTAGTATGTCTCTGTGTTACATCAGACTGTTTTATAAATAAGTTTAAATTTTGTCTTACAAACAAACAGATATCTCTCACATACATACACGGTAAGGGAAGAATGTTTAATTTCTTAAAATGGGGTCTACAACTCTCACAGTACCCCAAATTGCATACAGCGCGGATACATTTTTTTTGTACTACAAATGCTTTCTGGCTATCGGTAGAGTTACCCCATAACAATAACCCGTAGCTTAGAACTGAGGAAACATAACCATGATATGCACATAGAGCTGCCTCTTGCGACACTGTTCTCCGTAATCGTCTTAGAGCATAAACAAATCGGTCTAATTTCTTACAAATTTTAAAAATGTGCTCCTTCCAATTGCATTGTTCATCAAGTGTGATACCCAAAAATACTGCAGATTGTACCTTTTCTATCGATTTATTATGAAATTTAATGTTAATGTCAATTTTTTTTTGATTTGTGTGTCGTAAATTGTATTATTTTTGTTTTGTCAAAATTAATATTAAGGTTATTTAATTCAAGCCATTTAACTACGTCACGAATAGAGTCATTGATTTGATTATTAAAATTATTTATGTCATTAGCTTTTATTATTAGGGTTGTATCATCGGCGAAAAGAATGCATTTTTCTTTCGTAGCTTGAGGTAGGTCATTGATATAAATTAAAAATAAAAGCGGGCCTAATAATAATAATAATAATAATAACCTGGTAAAGTTAGTATGACGAGAACCTCGTGAAAGCCGAAACAGATAAGCAAACAAAATATCTGGACCTGGCTCACGAGGTGACCGACATGTGGGGTGGTCTGCCGACCGAAATTATTCCTGTAGTCGTCTCTGCAAACGGGCTAATCCCAGTCAGCCTCTCGGGTCATCTGAGGCGACTGGGACTCCGTGACGGACCGCTCCGGGCTCAAATGCAGAAGGCAGTGGTCCTCGATACCGCCCGCATCGTCCGTCGGTTTCTTTCCCTTTCCCCCTAACCCTCGGCCGTTTGGTCTCCCCTGCCGAGGGCTTCCATCTGGTTGGATCTTTATTTATTTGTGTATTTTTTTGTATTTATTTTATTTTATTGATATTTATGTATATTTATCTTTTCATTTTAATTTATAATTATATATTTATAGAAACCAACCAGATGAGAAAACTATACAGATACCCCAAAAATAATAATAATAATAATAATAATATGGCGGACCGCTCCAGGTTCAAATGCAGAAGGCGGTGCTCCTCGATACCGCCCGCATCGTCCGCCGGTTTCTTTCCCTTTCCCCCTAACCCTCGGCCGTTTGGTCTCCCCTGCCGAGGGCTTCCATCTGGTTGGGCTTTTATTTATTTATGTATTTTCATATTTATTTTATTTTATTGATATTTTTGTATGTTTATCTTTTCATTTTCATTTATAATTATATATTTATACAACCCAACCAGATGAGAAAACTATATAGATACCCCACACATAATAATAATAATAATGGCGGACCGCTCCAGGTTCAAATGCAGAAGGCGGTGCTCCTCGATACCGCCCGCATCGTCCGCCGGTTTCTTTCCCTTTCCCCCTAACCCTCGGCCGTTTGGTCTCCCCTGCCGAGGGCCTCCATCTGGTTGGGCTTTTACTTATTTATGTACTTTTATATTTATTTTATGTTATTGATATTTATGTATATTTATCTTTTCATTTTCATTTATAATTATATATTTATAGAACCCAACCAGATGAGAAAACTATATAGATACCCCATAATAATAATTTCATTTATTCGCTTAAACATGGTACATTAGAGGTGACAAATATTGGATATTGTATATAGTCCACATGTTTACCACATCTGGCATGCGAAAATTATTAATTAAATGAAAAGACATAGTCATGTACCTACATTGATTAATTTAAAACAAATAAATATAAATTAAAAACTTTAAAACTACAATCATTATTACAAGCAAAGAATTTAAATATGCATTATTCATTTAAATCAAATAAAATTAAAATACAATCAACATGTCAATCATTATAAAAAGTAAAAATTAGAATGTCAAAAGAGTACATATACAAAATCTACAGATTACACAAAAAATAGTCTAAAAGAATACAATAATGTCAAGTTCAGGCAGCAAGATTCTATTCATTTAAAAATTGTTTTACGTCATAAACGCACTTTAGTAGTAGCCAGCTTTTTAGTTTGGTTTTAAATTTACCAGTTTCTGTCTCTTCTTTAACGTTTACCGGAAGTTTATTATAAATTTTTACACTCATCGCGTAGCAGCCATTATGATAAAATGCAGTTTTAGGTATACGTTCTATAACTAGTCTATTAGAGTTTCGATTGCTACGCAAGTATACCTCAGATGCTTTTTTGTACATATATAATTGTTTTTTTACATGAACACTTGCTTCAAATATGTACATACCTGGTAAAGTTAGTATGTTAAGATCCCTAAACAAGGGCTTACAGGAATCATACCATTTGGCCCCAGTTAGGGCTCTCACACACTTTTTTTGAGCTATAAAAGCTCTTTTTGAATAAGAGCTATTACCCCAAATTAGTAATCCGTATCTTAATATTGTTGCAACATATCCATGATATGCAATGAGTGCGGTTTGCCTTGACGATGTTCTTCTTAACCTATTTAAAGCATATACAAATCTATTAATTTTATTACAAATTTCGTCAATATGAGCCATCCAATTACAATTACTATCTAATTTTATTCCCAGAAATTTCTTCTGTTCGTTTTCTTGCACTTTGTCATTATTATATCTTACGTCAAGATCTAGTTTCTTTCTACTATTACTATAGAATTGTAAATAACAGGTTTTTGCGATATTGACTTTCAAATTATTATTATGTAACCATGAAATGACATCATTTATTGCACATTTTATGTCGTTTTCATAATAATCCTTATTTCCATGATTATTTTTTATGATTAAAGATATGTCATCCGCAAACAAAATGCATGGGAATGGAGTTGAATCCGGTAAATCATTTACATAAATTACAAACAAAAAAGGTCCAAAAACACTTCCCTGAGGAACTCCAGCGTACTTAAGAACTAGTCGCGATCTGAATTTTGTCAAAATATTATTTTTATTAGGGCTTATAACTTCCACACACTGTTTTCTTGACGATAAGTATGACTTTATCCACTGCAATGTCAGTCCTCTTATTCCATACTTTTCTAGCTTACGTAATAAGGTGTCATGGCAAACAAAGTCAAATGCTTTTGACATATCGAAAAATATACTTGTTACATTTACCTTATCATCTATTGCATCGGTGATTCTTTTTAATAGATCAAAACACGCCATCGTGGTTGATTTGTTTTGCTGAAAGCCATACTGTTCTTTTTTCATAAACTTGTTTTCATTAAAATAATGACTAAGCCTACTATGCATAGCTTTTTCAAAATTTTTTGAGAAAACTGACAAAATTGTTATTGGACGATAGTTATTAATATCTTTTTTATCACCTTGCTTAAATAAGGGCTTGATCAAAGATAGTTTTAATGACTCTGGAAAAGCACCTACTTCGAATGATAAATTTATCAAATATGTAAGTATAAACGATAGTTCATCCTTGCAATATTTAATTACTTTTGTATTTACGCCATCATAACCTTCACTTCTAGAATTTTTTAAATTAACTATTAATGACTTTGTCTCCCTCCTCCAGAGTAATTGGACGTAAAAACATACTTTTGCACGGGCTTTTAATGTTATACAGGTGTGTTTCTTTCGCTTGTTTAAGGTTAACTATCCTTGTCTGACTTTCATAATACTCCCTAAAAGCATTAGCAATCTTCTGTGGAGATCTTAGACATTCATTATTCTTGTTTATCATGTTTAAATAGTTGTCGTTCTCTTTT